TTTCTGATATGTTTCAAGTAACTCACAATAAGCAGAATTTGATGAAGAGAAGAATAAACAAGTCACTTAAAACAAAGAGGTATGAGTAAACAAAACAGCAGTAAATATGAAATAAATAATAGAAATTAAAAAATGGCAGCTTCAAGGAGGAAAGACAGTCGAGATCTTGTGAATGCTACCTTCCCATACATACTTAAAAAATTAAATCTGCTATTTTATATACTTGAAATAATTTATTCATTAATGTCTAACTTCCAGCTCAACTGAGAGCATTTTAAATATTTTATAACTATTTGTGCACACCAAGGTTTCTTCACTTCATGGCTTCTTTTTGCACTTACAGATAAAACCTTACACCTTGTTTGCATTGTTTATATATGAATCTTATGAACAAGCTAGCATAGAAGTGGGAATTTATTGCTCCAGGTTTTGAGTTTGGGCTGACCTTGTCACTAGCTTTGGCTATAGGATGTAACAGAAGTAATGGTTTCCTTGTTTCAACTACAGGCCTCAAGGACTTTGTACACATCCTCTGTTCTCTTAGAACACTGCCTAGATACCACTGAATAAGCCTGGGTTAGGCTGCTGGTATATGAACCACCACATGGTGCAAAGAAGAGTTGGCCCAGCTAAGACATACTATGCCGGCCATTTCTTTATCAACCTGGTAGCAGACCTTAAATGGTCAGTGAACCTAGCTGAAATTATTCAAAATTGGTATTTTATAGAAATTTAAGTTAATAAATGGTTCTAATTTTAAAGCAGGATGTCATAAGATGACTTTATAATGCAGAAAGCCACTGAAATATACACAATGACTTTATCTTTTGATGTAATATTTACCACAGTGTGCTTTTTATAAGAAGCAAGTATTTTCTTTTTAACCAATTACTCTTGGAGGGCAACAAGTACACTACACTACACTATACCTCATACTATAATATATATATATATATATATATATATATATATATATATATCCATAGAACTTTGAATGTACTTTGTACATAGTAGGGCTTCAAATTTTTTTAAAAAACCATTTATTTATTTGGTAAAGGTTCTTGCTATGCAGTTCATGCTCATAGTGATCCTCCTGTCTTGGTCTCCCCAGGACTGGGATTACAGGCATGTGCGACCACCCTCGGTTTTGGTGTTCAACACAGCACATCCGGGGTTCCAGGCCAGCATGACATGTGGTACCAGGCATCAAACCTCAGTCCTTGTTCTTCCAAGGTAGGCGCTTAGACCACCAGGCTATCTCCCCAGCCCTGGGACTCAAAATTTGGTGAAATAAACTGAAATGAAAATCAAATACTGACATGCATTAGCATGTGTACATAATGTTTAAATAAAGTAATGTTAAACAATCAAAAACTCAGAAACTCTTGTTTGACTCGTATAATTCCCAACTATGAACCATTAAAGGCCAGCAATGATTAGTATTTTCTTTTTCACCAGTTATTCTTGGAGGGCAGCAACTATACCATATCATACCATACCATAGCATACCATACCATACCCCATACTATATTATTTTGTATATATATCCATAGAATATAGATGTATGCATACCACTTCAAGGTGTTTGATTAAGGGAGGCCACAATTTGTTCTTTTCTAAAATTATAATTTACTCAAACTTGAATTTTGATAAAAAATTCACATATTTGATATCTATATATGTAAAACTCTACTGAAATCCTACTTTTATGAACATGTATAAAATGTATAAAATGTTAAAGGAACTTTTGATTTCTACCATCTAACCACATTACTGTTAACAACAGGTTTTCTAAATCTAGAAACCTGACAAATGAGATGTGTATATTAATATGTTCTAACTCTGAAGTGCTATACAAATGTAAAATGTCATGAAAGCTTGTATATTCAAAATGTCATTTCACTTTTTTCCTTAAGTATATAAAAGCAGAAAATAGAACAGGTGGAAAAAAAAGAATAGCTCTGTTACCCACACCTAATTTGCTTCCTAATGAAATTTTCTAGATTTTTTTAAAATGCCACTCTGCTATTATAGTCTATGCAGAGATGCTTTCATCAAATACTCCATGTTTTGACTATTTTGAAAATTATCATTGAATTGATAATGCCTGAAACTCTAACGCAAGATAATATGAAAGCATGACTAGAATGATTAGACCCATAAACCAGTGAGAAAAATAAACCCAATGACAAGGAAAGCATATCCTTGCCGCACTGCACTGGGGCAAAGCCCCTTCCTGCATGGGTACATATCTTATATCTTCACTTCACTTCTTCCTTCATGTTTTTGCTTCCTATCACATATAATTATCAATGACTTATAAAAGCCATAATGATTAAATCAGTTACGATAGGCTGAATAATGAAATAAGAACCTATTAAGAGTTCGGCAGGCCATTACAGAATGATGAAACACTAGGTCTGAAAGAAAAACATCAACCAAAGACATAGTATATAAATGGTCCAAAGGATTAGATGAGGAATGGGTAAGAAAGTTACATATTAAAAAGGAATCAATTACTCGCAAGTAAGAAGTGTTATATATCAGGAGTAGAAAGTCTAGCATCCCCTCAAACTAGCGATATAATAATAAAAATACAAACTCAAAGAGACTGTTAAATGAGACAGAGTTTTAAGAAATATATTTCTAATACTCATACTGCCCTAAGAGGAAATTGTTTGGGGCAGTAAGTCTTTCTCAAGTATGATACTGACGCATACACAGTCCTGGTACTGTGCAGAGATTTATCCATAAAGCTAAAGATCATACTTCATAATTTTTAAGATTAGCCTCCACCTCAAAATTCAAAAATTCTATTTTAGAATTTTGAAGAATACATGCCAAAGGGTAATCATGGCACATGTGACATCAAGCTATCATTCCTAGAAACACATTTTTATGCTATTTGTAGGTTCAACATCTCTATAGTTTAGAAGCCTCCTTTACAAGAACGCCAATTTTAAATAGCTTGTGAGGACGACTAAGATTAATTGCAAAAAGATATGAAGCAAAAGGATCATTTTTCTCACAGCGATTCAACCTACCTGAGGCCTGCTAATACAGCACAAAAGCTAAGGAAGTTTTCAAATCTCCTACACTGGAAAGTTTTCCTTTCAAACTATTTTAATAACAAGAGACCTAAGTAGATGTTAGAGGATAGATTCAATGGGAGGAGGCACAGTCTTTCACAGTCAGTAAAAATTTGGACTGTTTGTTTCTATTGCTAAAACATCACAAATAAAACCCTGGAGTTAGAAATGTTAATAGAAAAACAGGAACTTAGGTATAAATGACACTGCTGTTCACCAAAAGCTCACACATACTGGAACATTCATCTCCAGCTCAGATTCACCTCATTTGGACTGTACTTTCTAACTTACTCACTTAGTTAACATTTTCCTAGGGAGCCAAACCACAAACTACAGAGAATAACCACAGTTCTTCCTTTTCATGAATAGTAAGAATGGGAAAACTTGCTTCTTGGGAATGTGTCTTCACTGAAATTCAAATTCTGCTTTCCAAGAAGTCAACTGGCCGGGAAGTTTCTAAGAAGAAACTAGGGGAGGCATGGCAGAATACAGGCGATACCACTCCACAAAACCCTAAATCAAAATCTCGATCTTTCAATCTTACATTAGTCAAAGGGTTAAAACCTGAGTTGAGTTGTACAATCTACAGGTCTTAAGTATGGGAAGAGATAGCTCCATTTATGGTCACTCTGGGAAATCGTTTTTGTGTAAGAGAACTCCCACTCTGGCCCCCAAATATTAAGTTGACACACGTTTCTGGGACGCGTCCTGAATCCTCAAATTTGGTGGGACTATAGACACAATTTTGTTTTCTGCTTCACAGGGTTTTCCAGAATTGTCATCAGATGACAGATTACACCAGCCATCCACAGGATTCAGAGGTAGCTCAGGCCATCCATTATGGGTTAAAAGCTATCCGGCGTGAATCAAGTCACAGTGGTAAGGAGACTACCAATACAAGGGGTCCTACAGCTTTAAGAAATACCCGGGGCATCTACAAGTTTTCAGAATGCAAACTATGTCAGCTCTGAAAACAAGAGGTACTGCATCATTATGGCAGGAGAAACAAAGCCAGCCCCCCCTTTTAAAATAGACAAAAAAAGATTGTTTAATAGGAGAGAAGCATTGGTCATTGATTCTTACTTCATTCACACTTTCTATCCAACCCCATCCATCTTCAGAGTGAAGAGATGACAGAGCCCAGTTAACTCTCTCCCTTCTTTGGACCCCCACCCTTTCTGCTCCACTATACCCAAATCAAGGCCTACCAACCCACCCTTTTCAATCTATAAGAAGCAGCGCTACAGAATGACTCTATATACTGGGCTTGCCCAGCTCAGGTGTGACTAAGGACCAGTTTTCATCGTATTACTTCAATAGCGTTGCCTTTCAGGTTAGCATGATTGGTTACGGTCTTTGCTAATCATCTTCAAAATGATCATTTAGTCATTCATGGCTGACCATATTCTACAAAGGAAGTAATGGGAAGACTCAAGGCAACAGAAAAAAAGTCAATGAACCAAACCAACAACCCAGAAACTAAAATATTTCATTTTTCTTCAGTGCTTCTGGCCACATTATCTGCAAACAAAAGTTCTCCAAGCAGGCAATCTCTGCATCAGTGCACCTGCTTAGTATTGGCTTGATGAGTTATCTTTTTGCTGTGTCTGCAGAAGCCAACTATAACACAATGGGTCACATCACTTGAGGGTCACTTGAGTCCCTCTACTCCCTGGATACTCCTCCCACCCCCTGCCTTCTCTTCTGCCCACAAAACCCTTAACTCCACCATAGCTAAGGATCCCAGATAGCTAAATAAAAGAGGTGGCCTCAAATACAGGGAAAAACCCTTAGGTCTCCAGTGTGAATCGCCAACGTCAATCCCCCTCCCCTCCCCTTTTCCTTAAGACCTGATGGTCTTCAGTCACACATCTTAAAAGAAAAACAAAAAACAAAAACACAAAGACTTACTTGTCTCAAGTCGATGAAGGCCAACTGCAGCGTGTCCTCCTGGAACCCAGGCACCGGGCCGGATCTGGCAAACTCTGTGGGAAAGAAAAGAGGATAAAAAGCGCCTTTAACTAACCATGGACAGGGAGATTGGCAGACGGATGACAGGGAAGACAAGAGAGGCTGGGGGAGAGGAGGACCAAGCTTCTAAGGAGTCATGTCTCTCTCCCTTCAGCTTCTTTGTTTGCCCTTCAAAATTCGTGTCATCAAAACACCATTAATTCCAGCATCCTGACAGCAAGGAAACTGTACTAATTCGACCTGAAATTTATTCCCATGAGCTGCGCTGGGCTTCAGAGTATTTGTTTTGTGAATGGACAAACAACTTGCAAAAGAGGAGGGAGTGGGGGAGAGAAAAAAGTTTTTCCTCTCAACACAATAAAATCTTCAGCTGTGAAACTCTTTTCAGTTCCGAAAGCTATTTATATTTTAGATCGCTGAAGGAATTTTCTAATTTCACGCCTGTCACCTCATTCCCCAAGCATTTATCAAAAAATATTCCCTGCCACATCATTAATTATTCCTTACTGATTATTTGTATTATCTCACAAGTGCCAACACACACACAACAGCAGCAGCAGCAGCAGCAGCAGCAGCAGCAGCAGCAGCAGCAGCAGCAATAGCAGCAGAGTAGAGGCTGCCCCAATCCAGTTCTTGGCTTTTGAGCAAAGGAGTATTTGCAGATATGAAACTGCCCATCTGAATGAATTTCACCATAAAATTAAGTGAATATCTTTACATAGCTGTCCTTCTGGTCTGCTTGCTATTCTTTTTTTTGTTCTATTCTTGACTTTTACTTTCATTCTTCTCTCAGTTTGTTCTTCTTTTCCCTTCACCCTAGGTTTCCCCTTAGGTCAGAAACCAGAGGAATGCTATTTGCAATTTGCAGTAGCGCCTTCAGTACAAGCTCAGTTTATGGCTTTGGCTTCCAAGTCATTAACAAGAAGATAACTGCACAGGGCTACAGGGACAAATACTAATAACAGTTAAGAATGTCAGGTTTTATTGTCCCTAAGCCCTGCTTATTAGGAAATCAAAAGATTTTATGTTCCCTGTACATATATATACATGCATACAGACAAAATTCCCAAGTTGGACTGTTACTATGTCTTCATCTTTGTTTGTGAAGCCAAAGTCTGAAGGAATTTAATATCAATTTATTTGAATAACAACTTCTATCTGTTCAATGTGAATATAAAAGGAAGTATTTTCCTTTCACATAATTTACCCCCAGTGGTAAATTTAAGGAAACTTGGTATCAGAGTTCTCTTTTGAAGTTAAATAAAAATCTATTAAGATCTTTGCATATGCCTGGAAAATTAATTTCAATTACTGGATAAATTTAAATGATGGTTTGTTAATAACAAGTAGAATTTTTATATAAAGATTCTTTTTATCTGGGAAATTTGTTGACATAACAGTTTTCATAAAAGCCTTACCACACTTTTGAAAATAATACTACCAAATTAGATTGTGAGATTATGAAAATATTATGTGAAATAAATTACAAAGCAATTAACTACACTAATTTAAATATAGCACAAATGTATTACACATCTCTATATAAATATCTGTATTATAAACATCTCAACTAAAAAGATTCCTAAATGAAAAGAGATAAACTATTACCATAACTAGTCATAGAAAAGTTCCTATTTGCTTTGAAAGGAAAATTCAAATGCCACTTATAAATTAATTCTATCTTGTATGCAGCCTAAGTTTTAAAAGACTAAAGTTCTTTGATAATAACTACAGTTACTCCTTTTGACAGCCTTGTGAGGCAGTCAACTTAATACACTTCCCATAATTGATGGTTTATTCTAAGATTGACAGATTATTCCTATTGATCCTACATCATTTGATTTTATGTTGCAGCACTGAAGCATTTACAGTCCTCTGGAAGAGTAGGAACCTTACTCACAACGACTAAGAAGATGTTCTGCTGTCCCATTTCTATCCAGCTCCATAGAATTACCCTGTTATACAGTTTCAATGCTTCGGAGCTGGCTATACATTTTTCAATCTCTTTTTTGGGCATTCTTCTTGGAACTGATAGATAAAGATGATGAAACCACTCAGAATCTGGATGTGATGCACGTGTAGTTCTCAGAGTTACTTTACAGACCTCATTTTTATGACACACTGAATCTTTAGGTTCCCAAAGGACATAGTGGCCTTTGATTTACCCTTTTATAAATCAGATTACCAAAAAAAAAAAAAAAAAAAAAAAAAAAAAAAAAAAGACAATTACACCAGGTATGACAAGGAGAAGTGATTACTTTTATTATGAAAATGTCTAATTACTGAATATTCAATTTCATATTTATATCTCTTTTCACTGCTTCATGTATATAATTCTTACTTTTTCATACACTCAAATTTTTTTGGAATAAAGATCATTTAATAAAACTTTACAAGTATTCCAATCAGTATTAACAAATATTATGTTTAATAAGTTATATAAATAGCATGATTCATTAACTGCATATACTTGTCACTGCTAATGAAAATTTCTACCAGTAAAGGGGTTCCTAATCTGAATATCAATAAGCAGGCTTTCAGAATTAATCAGCTCCCTAAAATTCTGTGCACAATGACTTTAAGGGCATAAGCTTTGGGGGTTACATCAATTAGAACTTAAACCCTTGTTTTCTAGGTTTGCATAAAATAAATTAACATCCTTGTGCTTCAATATCTTCAGTGCAAAATTCAGGATAATAAAAGAGCACTCTTGATAGTGTGCTGATAAGGATTAAATAATACATGGAAAGCTACTGGCAGACTGCCTACCATAACATAACTGATTATCGTTAAAATTAGTTTCTTTGTCTGAAAATGCATTTCTCTGGAAAGAAGGGTACAGCTTTCACTGAATTCTCAGAAAGCTGGTGGCCCACAAAAGGTTAATAAATACTGCTCCATACCTAGGACAAAATATCAGAAATTTGGCTACCATTCAGTGATGATTTAGTGAGTTGGCTCTGCAAGTGCATTTATAGGCAAATATTTAATTGCTTCATTGAAAGGAAGTTCAAATGACTAATTATTATTCTATTACCAACAGCATGGTAATTTTCATTTGTAGTCTAAAAATTCAATAAATGCATAAAATAAAACTGTAACTTTATGACTCAATACACTCTCAAATACGTGACTGCCCTGCTAGAGTAAAGTCTTTTCCAATATATGAAAATGGTTAATACCATAAGAAAGTATATTTTTAAAATGAAAACTTATACATAAACTGATTTCAATTAGATAAAATATAATATGCATAAAATGTGACAGTAAGCAATCTCCATAATGTTAACCAAGACTGCTATAGAAAGAAAGGTTATAAAAAGGTTTTTTATTCTTCAGATTTCATAAGTTGTTAAAATATATATCCAAGGAGTGGAAATAGAACCCAAGAAAAAGAAACAGCACACGTGCACATGCACACATGCACATACACACATCATGTAGCAGTACTAAATTAGTACTTTGTTTAGTGACAAGAGATATAATTTGTTCAAGATTTGGTATTACATGCAGCTAGGATTAGCCTACAAACCCTAATTCCCAGATACGAGAGGATGAAAACTACCCATGGGGGCTTAGGGGAGAGGCTTTCAGCATGCTGAATTGTGTTGATGACTGTCAAAATTAATTATATGTACACATACACAAAGAAGACTCCATTAGAGTCATCAATGAAAACTTTCCTTCTTTTGACATGACATGAATGGTCAATACATGCAAATGTGGACAAGTGGAACCAATGGATATATGGGTGATACCAGGTTTTCAGTATGTAGGTGACCTAAGTCAGCATAAAAAAACATGGATTTTGCAGTGTAACCTCAGCATCAGGAAACAAATCAAGGTGTTTAACATGTAACATAGACTAAACCCTTTCTTTGGTCAACCCCTGTCACTTGAGAAATGGGCAAAGTTCAGATGAGGCTGGCAAGGTGACTTCCTCTAAGAAGGAAGGTTAAAGCTAGGATGGCCACAGATCAACATAAGCCTGTTTTCCAGGGAATCTGGCTCTCCCCTGCATCTCTATCCTGTCATATACAATCATGATAGTGACTCACAGTCTAACTTGGTATCACGACCTGACTCCAAGTTCCAATTTGTAAACATGAAATACTTTTCACAAGAAAAATGGAGGTACACAAAATTACAAGAAAGGCATAGTCAATGAAGATACAGCAGGAGAAAGGAAATCACAAGCTTATTTTACTTAACAAATATTTAATAACCTCTCAGACACATACGAATCTTTGAGATATAGTAATTTTTCTTAAAAACAAAAGTAATTTTAAAAAATATCCTGAGAATTAACTTCTAGTAATCTTCACAATATAATAAAATGAATGTTCTGAAGATTACTTGTAAGCTGATCACAAAATTAAGAAATTAACATTAAGGGTAGAGAAAAAAATTAATTTTATCTGGTACATATGACTGAAGAAATCAAAACAGTAAAAAGCACATAATACTAAAGTATAATTAAATAGACATGGCTTTGAGAAGTCTAAATGACTTCATTAGTCTGTAACATGTGTATCTAGAGAGGGTATGTGGAACTGATCAAAAGGTTTTTGTTTTGTTTTGTTTTGTTTTGGTTTTTTTGGTGGTATCAGGGATTGAACTCAGGACCTCATGTTTGCCAGGCCGGCACTTATACTGCTGCTGAGCTATATCCTTGGCCTATATATATATGTATATATGTATCTATGTGTATATACATGTATATATATATATATATATATACATACACAGAGATACATATATATATATATATATATATATGACATAGATAGATAGATAGACACACATATATATGAAAGGGTATACAGGATCTCACTGCATAGATTGGACTCATAGTGATCCTCTTGTTTACAGCCTTCCAAGTACAGGGATTACAGGTGTGCACTACCACACCCAGTCTCAATCATGTCTCAGGGTGTCCCGGCAGCGGGGCAGGCACAGCAGGCCTGAGGATTGAACTTCCAGCCCCTGTGTCTGCCTAAGTAGTCACATTAAT